CGTATCTGTATGAATTAAAAGTGGATGATGAAATTATTTGCCAAGTGTCGATAAATGCACCAAGTCGTGACATAGAGTTAGAAAAAACAAGAAAATATACTTGTTGAATAATTATCTGAAATGACTAATAAAGAATTAGTTTAAAAACTTTTCAGTTAATTCCAAACATAATAAAGTAATTTTTGATGTGAAGTATGGTTAGTTTAGAAGGTGTATATAGAAGGTGTTGTTGAAGAAATTACAAAATTAATGAAATTTTATATTATTACAGTTACTTCTTATTTAAAAAATCTAGCAATGAGTTGCATAATTTTCCAGACTGTAATAAATGTTATTTTTGAAATAAAATCTCATATTATTAATCATAATGAAAAAATGTGTATGGTGCCATTTGTTACAAGATTATTATAAAAACTTTTTATATTATTAATTATTAAAAAATGGGAAAACCTTAATTTTGAGGGTAGTGCTCAGTTTTATAAAAAAAATTGTAATTGTTAATAACAAGTAAAGTCTCCATTAAGTCCGACCCCTCGAGATATGACACATTACATTACGCTACTCTATCTTCCACCCACTCGAACTTAATCATCAAACTTTAAAAGCATTAATGCCCCTTATACACAAGCTACCATTCAAAATTTCATTTCTTAATCATTACCCCAATTGAGATATTAAAAGAAATAGACACCAACGCACAGAGAGAGAGAGAGAGAATTCAGAAATCCCCATTTTTACTCTTTTTTTGGGTTCGGGGTGTCTTAAACATGGTGATTTACAAAAAAACTCAAAGGATCTGTGAAAAAGGAAAAGAAAGACTCGAAAAATTATATATTTTTATGCAAGTCTCTATAGCTTCAAACTGTCTATGTAATTTAATATACAGCCAGTACAATTTATGGTTATGATTACCACAGGCATATTGGATCATTCTGATCTTAGTTGTAAAATGTGTAATTACTTTGTCAACCTTCTTACTGTTAATAGTTTTTATAATTTTATAATGACTGTAGATACCTGTTTATTCATTTATGGCTGAAGAGAGTCTTAAGGGCCAAAATGCATTCTAACTATAAAAGTGTCATTTTGATAACATCATTTAATAGTGTGATAAATCTCTGATATCTTTGCTACATAGTGTATGAGACATCTTTACTGAAAATTAATTTGTGCAAGAAGCTTTAATTAATATAAAGTTAATACTATTAATTTCTAAAATTTGGAGGGGTTGAAAACCCATTAGCAAATACTTTGTTTCCATCTTATTCATTTATTTTGAGAAATGAACAAATAAGATAATACGTACACATTGCATATGAACTGCAATTTTCTTACCATAGTAATATTGAAACATCATTTATTCCTCTTTCTGTGTATAGTTCTATGTAAAGCAAACTAATAGAATCCACTTACTGTAATCGTTTTAAGACTTGCCCATACAGATGACAATAACCAGTGATGCATTATCCTAGGGGCAAAAAGAGCAATTCCTTGGGGTCTCCACCAGCAGGACATTCCAAACCAATCTTTTATATGAAAATATTTCCATCTAAAAAAATTCCCCGAAGAAAAGTGCCTGAAGTCAACATTGTGCATGGAGCCACCTAATTCAAATTTGCATGGGCCTCGTGTAAGCTATAATGCACTACTGACAATAACCAATTGGTAGGCTTACCATAATATTTTTTTCTCAAACCTGGGCAATTATGAGAATATACTCACAGAAAAAATACTCACAACATAAAATAAAACCTACTAGGATAAGTTCCTACGACTGAAAAGGCTAAACAAAGAAATTGTTAACAAAAACCAATAAGTTAAAAACAATTTTTAATAACAACTCAACTGAACATACCTTATTATTAAGAAGTTATTAATATTTATCACTAGTGTAAACTTTATTTAAAAATTCTATGTTATTTTTAATGGCATCGAAATTTAATGCAGTTTAAATCGATACCTTTAAATATGACAATACAAGTATATTTGAGGAAGTTCCTTCCACTGCTACTATCCTTGCCTTATGTTTCACACATTTCAAGAGTGTTTAATGTCTGAATGCTCACCACAAGTTACTGAAAATTCTGAAAAGCACAGTTCACATTTCACTTTGTCAATACAATTGCAAACTTTTTTCAAAAACGAATAATCCTGTTTTAATTCATCGGTAAACACACGGTTTCTTTTAGGCATTTTGGCGATTAAATTAATTTAATGCACAGTACAAAATAATTGCAAATGCCTACTAGCAATTCAAACTCGACTAAGATAGGACATGTGAAACAATGACGTGCCAGTGTAAGTTTAGTGTTGCCAACTCTAATTAAAACAAAATATCTAAAAAATGAAAATAAAAACGTCCAGATCTCATCAACTACATGCTATTATAAATTCTGTGAAAAAATAAAACATTAAATTCATAAGGCCACATGCTATAAATTTTGGGGGGAAATATCTAGACAACATTAAAAGTACTTAGGTCTAGATACAAAATATTTAGATTGGTAACAGTAAGTGTAATAGAGGAGATATTTTAGTTATCAAATCCCAATTTTACCCAAGGCTGCACTATTTTTACTTCTTGTATATTTGGCACTTTTAAAATTTTACCAAATAACTGGGATAAAATGCCAAACTGGCTGGGAAGCAGGGACCACATCATCAAACTGGAACAGTCCCGGTCAAAGCAGGACATCTGGTAAGCCTACCAATTCATAATTTTAGTGGGTAAGTAAATAAGGCTTGCAGTTATAATTCCACTTTTTATGAGATTAAAAACGTGTGTTAAAATGATTAAAAATGAAACAAAGATAGTTGTTATTAACTATATTCATGTTATTCATTTTTTAATCACTTTATCGGCTGCCTACTGAGACTGATAGCAGAAAGAGACTGTTCAAAAATGACTATAAATTCTGATTACAATAATCAAAGTTTTATAAACGTATTTTAACATACGTGCTTGAAACATGTACTTTTAATAACCTTCATGACAGATAACAATATTATCAACTACAATAAGCAGACTATTGTATGCAAATAGAGTGTTTTTCAATTGTTGCTGTGATTATGTAGATTTTATTACAATAATATATATCATTACTGTTAAATAAAAAATAATAAAACTCTTATAAACATATTAATTAGGTATAAATTTATTTTTCTTACCAGTAGTTGGCCAAATCCACGATCAACTTCCTTATGACTATACCTATAATTTGTACTTTTTTGTTGATAATTTTGTTTTTCTGTTCTGAAATATAAAATTTTATTAAGAAAAATTTTTAATGACTATGATTCAATTTATAAATAAAGCTTACTTAAAACATCTTCCGACTTTTCGTAATGAGGTACTTTTATCCATTTGCACTGGAT